TGCTGCCAGAGACGTGACATTGGCCACCCCCGGCTGTTAGCCCCTATTATTTGTAATGCTGCTAACAAATCTCACCACTCCTTTTGATCTGTGTATGAGATTCTTTGTGTCTTTAATAGAGAAAGGCCACCTTGCCTCCCTCAAAGCCCTACTGGAGGCCAGTAGGGTTAGTCCATGCTATAAGCACAGATAAAAGGGGGGACAAGAAGAAAGAACAGGTCACGACGTGGCAGAGGTTGAGACGTTCAGCTTTAAACACTTTATGGGAAATTGTAAAACTTCTAAACATTTTAATAGATTAACTTCCCCTTTCAGTGGCATCAGTAAAACTGAATTATCGTCCTCGCTTTTAACTGATGCCCAGACCCAAAACTCATCCATCAGGGATCATTTGGTGATAAAGCAATCAATCCTGCCGTGGTGCAGAGGGGACAAACTGTGCAAGATACCATCACCAAATATCCTTTCCACCCAAAGCATTCTGTGAGTCTTTGTCAATGAAAGTGCATTTGTCTAGCCTTATCTGCAGCAGTATATGTGGAATACAAAGGAAGAAAGTAAAACATGCACTTGATGTACATGTGCAGATGGCAGACGTATTGCCAACACGAGGAGGACTGCCTTTCTGCCCAGAACTGAGCACAGTGCCTGATAACCAACCACTGCACCACTTCCTCAGGCACCAAACTAACAGATGAAAGCAAACACAACGCTGTCCTAAAAAGTGCTGCAATGTATGAGTGAGTGGGGAGAGCAACCTTGGTGACTTCAGCCAGAATCTCTAGCATGTTGGTCGTCTTTTCATCAGCACAGCGTGCAAAAGACATTTCCCCTTCACATTCGTGCCTTGGCTCCTCACCATTCACAGTATTGTTTATGGATGTTTGTTTTTCTGGTACTTAAAGATTTCTGTATGTGTTGAAATTACAGATCCGAAAAAACATGGAAAAAGATTTTTTTAAATGTCTAATCATCATAATCAACAATTGGATTTTATTAAGGTATGTATAATGTGCACAACTGTGATTTGAAGAAATGCCTTTATCATTAGAAGAACCCCCACTTCAGGTCAGAAAGTGCCCATTGCCACTGCAGAACAAATTTTTAATGAATTGTGTTTGAAAGAAACACACAATAACTTATTTCCTGAAACAGAGGGGAACGTTTAATTTCCCTGCTAAATGCAATAACATTTCTATATGGTTTTGCTATAGGGTAAAAAAAAAAACAACAACAGAATACGTCTGTTTCTCAGCCAAATATGGACTTTATTACGGCTGAACTCATTGCAAGTTTTGTGAATGGTGATGTGGATACTGGAGCCAAAGGAAACCTTTACCTACAGCTGCCTTAGGATTCCCATCAACAAACAGTTTGGGGCTAAATTAAGAGGTTCAGCGTAGCAGAGTTCTTCAAAGGGTTTGTGGTTGCTCAATTCCAATTAAAAGTCTATTGAATTGGACACTTAATTCCCATTTGTGTCCATGAAAATCTCTCTTCTGTAACATAGTGTGTTACAGTTCTGTGCTGAGAAGTGGCTGCACAGGAATGTATGGGGAACGCAGTGCATGTACTTACTTTGAGGAATAAGGAAAATCATAGCTATTATATCAACTGCATTGTATTTCCAGCATTTAGCAAATAGCATCTCCATAGCAGAACACACGTAACTAGATAAAGCAAAGTAGGGCTGTGTATGTGACCCATCACCTAAGTAGCCATACGATATTATGACTAGAAAAAATGTTGTAGATTTTGTGCAAAAGCAGTGGAATGTCTGTCTCTAAGCAGCTCATCCCGGGCTGACAGTGCAACACAGACCTGCTGGTGCCACATAACTGAATATATTTTTAAGGGAATTAACAGGGGCAGCAACTGCAGAGGGGCTCAGAAGTGATGACAATAGGAAATTCTGCAGGGAAGATGGTCTGACTCTGCAGAAAGTTACTGACATATGTAGGACACTGGAAATAGCCCAAGAGAAAACACAAATCCTATCTGAAGATCATGTGGCGAAATGTATCAGAAGGAATTACAGGAGATGAAAATGCAAAGGTTAAGCGCAGCACAGAATTGTCTGCCTCCTGCTGCAGAGAAAACTGACCGAGCACGTGCACCTGGTCTGAAGGGAGCCAGCAGGGTCAGAACTGCAGGAGACATAAGGGTCCAAAGCTGACATCAGTCTGAAATTCTTGTGAACCGAGGTGTGAGTCAGGCTGAAGTGAGCAGACCAAAACCCACCTGGAGGACTGGGTTTGGAGATGGACAACAGCACTCCCAGCACCACGTCACGTGAGCTGAAGGACTGCAAGATACATCCCTTAAGGTTTCAATTTCCCTGGCTGGTGCAGAGCAAGCTGCAGTCCGTGCGCCCAGGGCAGATGACAGCAGTCCCAATGGAAACATCATTTGCAGCACCTGCTGGCCGCTCTCATCGTCCTTCCCTCGCTGAGCACTTTCGGTGTCGGCTCCCACGTCCTCCCAAGAGCTGCTGATAGGAAGCAATGCGCTGTGACTGCAGCTCTTCCCAGTTCTCCCCATGCTCAGTGCTTGTGGGACGTTTCTAAAGATTATTTCTTCAGTGGTTTTGAGTGGTTTTATTGAGCCCACAGATAAACTTTCTTTAAAGAGACTCTGGGCTCTTAGAACAGAGCAGTAATTATAAGGAAAATGAATTGCATCCTTGAGGTGTGACCCTGCTGAACACCATTTGGTCAGCAGCAGTTTCAGATGCTAACAGCATGAATAAGTCAGACCCGATGGCTGAAGGATTATTCCTCCAAGCTCCCAGTCCGGTTCTGGCCCTGGCAGCCGATCGCTCATTCAGTAGAGGATGCTGAGCACCTCTTCTCTGCAGAGCAATACGAGGTGCAATTCCTAACGTGACTAATGAGTCACTGAGTGGTACAGACCTCTGCCAGGAGTTTGTTAGCAATGGAAAGGAAGCTGGAGAGACAGAAGCTTACCCACTGACATAGAATATGGCATAATGTATTCATTCTGCCATCAGCAAATGGAAAGGCACAGACCTATAAGCAAATACGTGAAAACCTCACAGTTAACACAGATGCAGCAAAGGGAAGCATGCTGAGACAAGGAAGGTGATTCCTCCATGAAGTCAGCCAAGAGGCTGATCGTGGTGTTCCTTGGCTGTAGGTGCTCGTCACCTGGGTGCAGCCTGGATGCCACCCACAGCATCGCAGAAACAGTTCGGGCCTTTGGAGCACAGGGCCTGTCCCCATTGTGCCACTCCATGACTGCACTTTCTCCAAAAAGTGAGACAGGAGGAAGGTGAGGAGAAGCCTCAGAGCCTCCGAGAGCCTGCAGGAGCATCCTGTGGCCATAGGCTTGCTCCTGCCCTGCATCCTGCCAAGCACTCAGCTCATAGCCAGCCTGCTTCGTTTGTTGTCAGCAGTGTGCAAGCAGTACCTGTATGCACGGGCTGTCATCACATCTTATTCCAGTAGATCTTTCTGCAGACATCTTGTTTCTCAAGTTCCCCTGGCCCCTGTACAGCTCTTCCTGAGATCGACTGTTCAGTGTTTTTAACTGTATTAGAACTGACTTCTTGCCTCTGTGCATACAAACGATTGTAACTATCTCTGTTTATCACCAAGACAGATACATGCACTAATTAGATATTCCCTAATACATGCAACCAAATCCCAAATGTTTTGCAAGCCAGAGCCTCCATGGAGCTCCTCAGCATGGAGCTTCCCTGCAGGGAATGCTTCTGGAGCACTGCGTCCTGCTGCCAGTAAACTGTGATGCTGAGGGCATGAACAAATGAATGCTGGTCACGAAATCACAAATAAACACTCTAGTGAGGTGTGATGGTTTCTAAGTATGAAATCAAACTGTTGCATTGTCACAACTGAGAGGTGGAACAACGAGGCAGGAGGGCTCTGTGCACACTTCATTCCCGTTTGTGTCTCTCTTGCAGCACAGCAGTGGTGGGGCTCTCTCTGGTTCCTTGGATGTGTGCAGGAACCCCCGAGAAATGGAAATGATTCAGGGGAACTGATCAAGATCAACAGCTATTAATGGACATAAAGTGTGCAAATTTGCACAGCACTTTTGGGACAGTTTCTGTATGTTATTACTCACACTCAGCTCTACACTTCCAAAAGCACTTTGTTTCCACTTAATTAAATGAGAGCCAACTTCTTCCGAGTGCTTCATGCATCCCACCCCACTGTGATGGCACTGCAGAGCTCTGCTGGGAATCTGGCTCCAGGGGCATGTGCTGAGCACTTGCAAAATAGGGCTCGTTGAGATGTGGCAGGCTGATTCTGAAATGATATCTGGAAATCTGCTCGCAACATTGGTAATGACTCTCCATTTGCATACACAAAAGCTGACTTTTGGCATGAATATAATTTTCTTATTCCTTCCCTTTGAAATTCTGATCCAGATTGTCTAGACAAGTCATAAGTCTCATTTGTGCTTAATGTTTTTTAATTTATTGTTTTACTTTGCTTTCTGATTAATTTGGAAACATCTCTTTCTTAGTGAAGATCTAGTGATAGAGGGTTGGAGTTTTATGGGCTTCTCTCCTAATCCTGCTGCTCTGGTCCTGCATATCCTTCAAGTCTGCTCTGAAGCTCAGCCCCATAAACCTAATCCTACCTACTGGCGTGCACTTTCAGACCTACAGTTCATCTAAACACAAACTAGTGTGCATCTGCTTTCTATTTCTCCTTGTACTTTTCAATAGTAGCGCTGCAAATGTTGAAGGAGGTGAACCCCGCAGAGCTAAAAAACATTTAACCATGCCGTGTATTTGCTGAGCAAAGACAGCATGGCAAGGCACCGAGACACCTCCAGCGGGGTCTGCCTCTCGCTTCCTCTCTCTCTTTCTTACTCAAAATACAGCTTTTACAAATACGACATCTTAAAATTAAAATGTTTGTTCTGAAAGTAATAGCCAAGATCATAGAATATTTATGTGATCATTAATATTTGAATTTTGAATAATGCATACTTATATATTTCCACAGAAGAATGCAGTGTGCGTCATGCACCGAAGTCACGCTGTAACAGGAACAGAAGCAGCTGTGTTTGCATTGCCCACTCACAGGTATGTAGTATCAGATTATGCTGTTAATTCTCTTTGTCTCCTGGAAATATCCGTGTCAGACTTTCGTCTCTTGCACACACAGGAGGTCCGCATTCGTAGCAGGCAATTCCAGATGCAAAGAAGTTCTGTGCACTTTGCTGTTAATTCTGTAGCATTGCCAGCACTGCTTTTGTAATTCACTCTGTTTCATTTGTCGCTAATTGTGTCTGCTTCTTCCCAAAAGTTTTGTCTCTGGGAAATCTAAGCCACGTCTTCCCTCTTCATCTGCAACGGTGCATCAGTGTGCAAGGACATACGACTGCATATCAAATAGCACTGCCATGCTCTGCCATTCACCATCACTCTTCAGGATGCTGATGAATGTGCTGACAGACAAAGGCTAATTGGCAGACTGTACGGAGTCAGTTTTTGATGACACAGTAGAAATAATAGGAGATGGAGCAGGTAACAAAGAAAGTTTAGAGGGAATAATAATAGAGAGATAGACAGAGAGCATTTCATGCAAAGAGAGCACACAGGCTGAAATACAGCAGGAGGGAACTGCAGGGCCCCAGGAATGCACACACACACACACACAAAAAGGAAGCAGGTAAAGGAGAGCAAACTGCATTTAGTGCTGCTACAGCAGAGAGGGAAAAATACTCTGATATGAAGGTAGGTTTGCAGCTGAACTTTCAAAACTGTGATCTCGTTCACTGCAATGTTTGGTTAGGGTTCCTGAACCTGAACCCATCCTCCTGAATGCCTGGAGCCTTTCATATTCCATCCTTTAGGATTGATAGGCCGTGGTTCCACCTGATTTTCACCTTGAGAGTTGGGTGCACACAGTTTATGAATGCAAGTGTGGGGCATTCGTTGGCAAGACAATAAATTCATTGGCAAGCATAATTACAGTCGTGTTTCTTGTAAGGCCACTTGTGAGTGGGCCATGCTGAGAGCAGGGAGGCTGTGGGGATGCAGTCCCACATGCTGAGGGCTGGAGCTGTCAGTGTGGTTCCTCTGGCACCAGCTCCAGGATGGGGGGGCTGAAGCACAGCTGCCACACAAACACCTGAAGGAGGAATCTGATGTGAGCACCACCCAAGAGAGATGTTGCAAAGCAAAACAAAGCCACTAAGTTGTCCACAGACAGTTCTTTGCAGCTGATTGGTAGAGGATTTCCTATGTTTAACTCTAATTAAAAGAAGATTGGCAATCTCTAGTGCATTCTCCCATTAGAATCCTTGTGTATATTTCCGAAGCTGAATTTTGAGCCTTAGAAAATGAGTCTGAAATATTGGCTAACATCAATCACAGCTTTTCCACTCCTCTAAAGCTGAGGATACGTTGTACATGTAAGTGCCTACCAGCGAAAACTTGGGAGGGTTTACCTGCTCGGTCAGCTAATGGGTGTAGCTGGCTGAAGAAGAACATGTGCACTTCAATCAGTTGAGCCTGTAGCTGAAACCTTTCGCCTCGGTTTTTAAAGGGAGCCAGAGTGCTTGGCTGCTCCTTCCCCAGCATAATCCCACTGAGCCCAGCAGGCTGCGGCCAGACAACGTGTCTGCACTGCTGACGGCGAGCTTCCATCAGGGATTTAGACATCTCCCCGATCTAAACTCTGCTTGTAAATAACTGCAGGTGAAATATGCACCCATAATTATTGTTTTCCTCACGAAAATGTTGGCATTTGATCCTTCCCTTTCCATTTTTTCCTTCATTATAAAACACAAACATGAAAAATATACCATTGCACCCCACTCTGTGTGCAGAGAGACGCTTTACCCTTTAAGCCTCAGAAGGAATATCATGCCTAAGTAAATGACCTAATTACTGCGTGTGCGTTCAGTGTGTCCCAGGTCAGTGTGCAGATATATGCATAAAGGCAATAGCAGCTTTGGGAAATAACCTTCTTGATTATAAAACAGCCATATACATGTTCTCCTGTGTGTAAATGTGTGCTGCTGAACGAAATATAATCACACGGCCTTGCTGATGGAGTGCTGCAATGGATGGGGAACGCGCGTGTGTGTGAAGGAGTTTGGTGAGCTGTTTGTCTCCTAAATCACAGACAGCATCGAGTCAGTGCGAGTTAGCCTCTTAAAATCTGACCTTCGTGTTGCCTATAATTGTCCTTAAGTTGGGCCATTTATTGGAGAGCATAACGCTCTCCCATAAAGACAACCCGTGCACTTACTTTTATTTTGCCAGTGTCCATCATTTGGGGAGTTACTGTTAGAACTGAGCATTTGCTGTTGGTGGAGGTAGCTGAGGAGTCGTGTCTTTTTCTCCTCTCTTGGCACATGAATCGGCGTTCTAAAAATTCACCATAGTAATCACAAAATGCTGCTGCAAAGAATGACTTGATAAAACCTTTTGAGATTTCAGCCTACCTCGTCCCTTTGTTTCATAACTAGGAGGAGTATAATGAATGCAAAAACTCGGTGAATAGAGCTCAGCAGGGCCTACTTTTTTCTCATGACTCCTGTGATTATAATAATTTGATTTTATAGGTGTCTATCCTAAGACCCCAGCTAGGGAGCAATCTTTACTGAGTCATGAACTTTCACATCATTAAATCTCTCCACATTTATTTTAAACATATCAGAAGTGTCAAATAACTTTAGATGTACTAAATTTTATTTGCATTGGGTGAAATGAAGTTCAGCCACGTGGGAAAAGAAATGGAATCTTTTCCTGAGCGCTCAGGAAGGAGGTTCTGCTCTCGGATCTGTGCCATTCGCCCCATAGGGCGGCACAGCACGTCTCCCATCGAGGCCAGGACACATGTTTACAAGGACGGGAATCTGAGTAATTTCCTACCCGTCTGAAGGGAATATTAAGCCCTTCTGTCAGTGGGAGGCGTATTATTTATGTTCCTTTTTTTTTTTATTATTGTTGTTGTTGTTGATTTCAAAAAATATTTCTTTGTTGGTTCAACGCTGACTCCCGATAGAAAGTGATGAAATGCCCAATATGTTAAAAAACCTTATCACTAAATCAGAAGCAGAACTATAAATTTTGGCTTTTGAAACCGAACTGACTGTTGAGGATCATTTTGCTCCTGAAATATTACAGCAGTGATCAATTTGCTGTAAAATTAAGCAGTTTAGCTCTGCAATCTATAGATGGAAAACATGTTGTTCTTGAGCAAAGTTTATGCCCTGCCCAAGGGATAAATTAAACTTTATGGGTAAGACATGCATTATTATATGCTTATCTGTTTAACATATCATTCTTTTCCACATCAGTATTATAAATATTTTTAATCATGCATTTGATCTCTTGTGCATACAGTAACATGGTAATTCCCCCTTCCCCCTCAAAAAATATGACCAAACAAAGTTAATTCATCACAGAACAGGGGAGAATTTTCTAATCTTCCTGAGAAATATGCTGAAGATGGAGGCAGAGGCGCTTAAAATTGGGGCTACTTTGCAATCATTGAGTGGAATACAGCTTTCCTGAAGGAAGGCTGTAGGTACGTTACCCATCTTTGGTGTGGTTGTTACTACTGAATATTTCGAAGTCTCTAATCAGAACCATGGGCTGTGATCTGAGGCAGTTCATTTTAGAAGTTTGGGAAAGCAGATGATTCTACACCTTTATAACCTTGTGACTGGTTTTGTACACTGCTGCTGGTTTCCTCTGAAAGGTATGGACTGGAGTCAAAGCTCTCGAGCGGCTGCCGGGTGCCTTCCAACCACCAGCCAGGATTGTCAGTCATCTTCATATTTATTTTCTTCTTCTTCTGCTAATGGATAAAGCGGACAGACTCAAACCCCCATTGCTAGTTAATTCATCTGGCCAGTTTGGATGGGAAGAGTGAACAGCAAGGACATCTCAGTGTAGCTGCCTATCTGCACACCAGTTGCCTTCAGCATCAGTCACGATGCTGCCATTGTGAATACTCCATGTCATGTTGTTCTGTGTGGAATCTCCCCCATATGCAATTCTGAGCTGAGTTACCTGAGATCCAACTGATTTCATCTGGAACTGTACGACTCCTTCACAGAGCTTTGAAAATCTCAAGCATGGGTCCTTGTAGTGTTTGTTGTCTTCATGGCTGACAGCCCTTCTCTGCCCTTACCACTGCTTGTTTCCTTTCAGTCACACATATCATCAGTTTTCTACCTTTTGGTGCATGCGTACCACTGACACTGTTTCCAGCCTCTCAGTCTGATCTTGTTTCTTACGTTCTATTTTCTGTAGCAAATGCTGCCATGTTTTTTCTTATCCAACATGAGTGCTTTAAATACGTACATCTTAGCCTATAGTGAAGTCCATCTATAATATGCTCCCATGTGAATAAACTTTTTTCCATTGAAGGCAAATATCTTAATCTAAGAAAAGGGAGGAAAAAGATGAGGGATGGGGAGAGTGGGCAATGCACCTTCCTTCAGGGTGAGATCCATCCCATCGTGGAGGAGGTGGGCGCTGCGCTGCAGGGGACAGGTTGCCTCATCAGGAAGATGAGCGAGGTGGGGATGAGCTGCTGTCCTCACTGCGGCGCAGTGGGGATTCATCAGTTGATGTTTTGCAGTCCTTGGAAGTTGTGAAGAGCCATGCAAGTGCTGAATGTTACTCTTGTTTCATCCAACTGCTTTACGCTCAAAAGAGCCACTGTGGGGAGCAGTGCAAACGTGTCCCTTATCGGCGTTCTCAGTCACCGCGAGGGATTTCTGCACTGTTTGTGCTTCCCAGAGCACTGCTGAGATGGATTCGCCGTGGCTGTACAGATGGGCCGCCTCCCCCGGCTGCCTGGTAAACTTTAATCCCATTTGTATAAAATCCCTTCTTAAATACAGCTCTCCAGGGCAGGCACTGTCTGTGTGATCTGTGTTCGTAAAGCTCAGCGGCAGCATCCTGATCTGCGCCTCGGTGTCCTGGATGCTGGCACACAAAAATAAAGCAACGCTGTATAAAAATGTTACTCACCAAGCAGGAGCTGAATGGAGGAAAAGAGGAAAATCCTGAAGATAATGAAGCAAAAGTAAATACTGCGCTCCAAGATACCAGAACTGATCGTGAGAGATGGAGAGGTGATACACAGTTATGCTGTGAGAACAGGTTTTTATTTGTGCACCAGGAGGAATCGTTTGGGTTTACACTCTGTGGTACAATCAGTGAGGAGAGGTGAACAAAACTATTTGACAAATGAGCAGACAGTAAAACAGTGTTCTCTGGAGAAGCCTTCTGGTGGCAAATACATGGGGTAAATGTTACAGCGCAGAACCGATGGGATTTGTCCTCTGTGAAGTCCTCCCTACGTGACCTGCCTGCTCCACTCAATCCTGGTACTTGTGTCACTGCCTACAAGCCTGGGTTAGTGCAGCAGGATGTTGACAAAGACCTCATTCCATGCATTGACTTCCATGAAAATTTGTTGCAACCTTCTCTGAGAACTGGACTGAAGGGGCAGAGAAATCCTTGGTGCTGCTCCCTGTCGCTCGGGGTGGAATGAGACAGAGGAGGTGGTTCCGGGACTCCAATATCTCACACAACTCAACTACACTTGATTATTATTTGCTTCTCACAACCTGAAAAGAAACCTACTACCAGATTTGTCTGTCTCAACCCTGCTGGAGCTGAATACTTTCATACATATGTATGGATAGCTTAAGTTTTTATGAGCATAATTTGGGCTTTTCAAAATAGTGACACAATAACAAAGCAAAATTGAGACACGCATGTAATTTGAATACTGATTTGGTTTTATCTCTTCCTGGTGCTGGCACTTTTGATGCTTCTCTTTTCCATTCCATCTCCTTTCTCTTCTGATTTCCCAATGAATGGAATTAGCTGTGGGTGCACTCGCTGCTTCCACCAACCAAGTATGAAACCTGAGGAAATCTGAATCTGTGACCTCCCGAAGAGTTTTGGGCAGTTACTCATTTGCTGTTAACTCTGAGTTTTCTATTGACTTCTTAAAGATGTGTTCCCATCCCCTTCTCCAATAGGAAAATGAGCACCGTCAGACAGCTCTCACTGTGCTTCTTGGCATTTTTGGTAACATCAGCCCTGATTTTTATTTGCAGCCATGCAGCGTTGCAAGGAGGTCATTGCAAAGGATGCCTTCTGCCTGCATCTCAGGGCAGATGCCCTCAGTGTTGTAAGCAGACTCGGGGCAATGTTCACCTTAGAGTGAACAGAAAGCACTCCACCAACCATTCACTGGTTCACAACATTCAAGTCCACATCTGCCTCTGATGCTGAGTTTTGCTGTTACTAAAGAGTCCTCTATTATGGGAACTAGGTCTAAGGAAGCTCTGCCATATCTCCTCGCCCTTTGTTGAGGTGTAGGAATAGCAGGCAAAACCCCAGTCCCACCCCGTCTGCATGAAAGCCCAGAGGCACCTCACATGCAGCTGCAGCCAGGTTGGAACAGTTTAATGCTGTGGAGAATTTGGTCCTAAAAATTATTCACAGAAAGTACTCAGTGAATAATTTCAAAGAGAAAATTAAAAAGTGCTCAAGGGCAATCTATGAAGAACAGAAAAAGGGGGTTAAATTCACCTAATAAATTATTTGCAGATTGAATAATTCATGGAAAATACAAGCCACATATAGAAGGATTTGATTCAGAATGTCAACCTACTCTGCAAAGTGCAGCTACCTCAGAACGTGCCTTTCTCAGCCACCAGGATGGTGTGTTACTGCAGCTGGGTTCCCGTCAGGAGCCAGATGAGCAGTTCCAGCTCTGTGTATCCATCAACCAGCAGCACGTGGTGACGTGGAGATCTGCACGGAAGATCTTGTAAGAAGTTTATTCCACCCGTTTCTACTGTGGAGTTCTTGCACTGGGCAGAAACTGGCACACAGCTTTCGTCACAGCCATGTTCCCAACATGGCAGATATTTCCCCATGTTTAAACTTTCAGAATTTGAGCGGAGCTTCACTCAGTTGTTTGAAGTTAAGCAGATACGTAGACTGTGTGCAGTGATACACGTGTGTATCATTTGCTGATTGCCTTATCATTTGACAAATGGCTATGTCCTGGACCTGCAGACTTAAAACCACTCTTATATAAATGTAAATGAACATCTAAAACCTTCTTGAAAGCTGTTAAACACTTGGCTTTGCCTTGTGGCAAAGAGTTGTGCTCAGCACAAGCACGGCGCTTTGAACATTGGATAACATTCTCAAAATGTTTATGAAAGCGGGTGAAAGCATGAGCACACGCAGTGGAAAGCCCAGCATTTTCATACATAAAGTAGGCAACCAAAGAAGCATATGAGAATTCGTAAACAGAGATTTTAAAAGAAATTTAATAATAGACTTCTTAAACTCCCAAATCGCTGTCAGAGCATGTATATGTTCAAAAACCTATAAAAATATTTTAAAACAATGTATTTTCCTTTTGCTTGGCTGCCAAGATCTCCATTAGGAGGTTTGTGTTTCCTTCCAGCATTAAAAGAATATCTCTAACATCTGTAGCAATGAGTGGTGAGGAGTGTCAGGTCTGCTTTGGAAACAAGCAGCGCCATTTGGAAGGGGAAGATGTGAATGATGACTGCGCCTTCTGAGAGCAGCCTGCTGTGCAGCAGGAGGTGTGCAGGGCCTCTGGCAGGGCTTCGCTTTCTGAGTTTGTTCTGTACACCTCTGAGGAATGCAGTCAGGTACGCAGGACTTGGTCAGTGGAAAAGCACTGCGCAGAGATGCAGGAGGAGGAACGCCACGTCTGCTGGGGGCTGGGGAGGGTCGCCTTCTCTGTTGCTCTCTGTGTGACGTTGGCCCCTCTGTACTTCATTTCTACGCCAGTAAATAAAAGCAGTGGCTTTTTCTGATGCCTTAGTAGCTGTCAGTGTACAGGTGGGTATACTGCAATTGGCAAGTGCTCAGGCACCACGATAAGGGAGGTACCTACAGCTGTAATCCAATGAGCAGGATCTTCTCATTGTAAATACCCTTCAAAAGAAAGTCCCCGTGTCTGATTTCTGGCTGAGAAATGTCATCTGATCTGCAGAACTGACAGAGCCAGAGCAATTCACAAACGCTTCCCAGCAAAATGACCTTGCCCTCTCCATTCCAAGAAGGAAACACAAACAATTGCCATCAAGTGTTCAGAACTGAGCAAACAATGCCCAGCGGTCCAACAGAGCTGAGTGCCATTCTCCTTCTTCCTAACACTGCGCCGTCCCTTGTTAGCATGACGGCTCTCACAAATATTCCAGGTTGTCCCAAATTTTAAGTGGAAAATTCCCTTGAATTCTGCAGGAAATAAAGCAGCCCGGGGATCCTGCCCCTTCCTTAAGGAGCCATGTAAGCAGGCATGAGTGACGCTCAAGCTTGAAGACGACCAAAAGGGGGAAAAAAATGACCAAGTTTCCAAGCCCTTTGGGTGCACCTCAGCCTCACCACTCACTGCCCTGCTGTGCATCCCAAGAAATTCCTGTTGGTGCCAGCAGCTGGGACAGCAGTTGGCAGACAGCAGCAGAGGCGTGCACACAGATCGCCCGCAGAGACACGGCTCCTCGAGGGGCTGTGCCTGCAGGGCTTGGGAGTGGGCTCCTGATGTTTGTGGGGCAGACAGAGGCTGAAATCTACAGTGGCTGAAAGGAAAGGTAATGCACTGCTCCTCCGCCTGAACTGCAATGGGAAGGGGGAAATATCGGTGTTAATCTTGCTACTCGAGCGTGAATCTGTGTTATATTTTGCTTAGCTTCTTCTGCTTGTTTGTAATTGTATCTCTAATAAACATATGGTTTTATACTTATTATCTGCATATAGACTGACTCCAAAATGTTAATTCATCCTTAATTAATTTTTTTGTGTTAAGGATACACCCTCAGTGTTATTTTAACGTAGGGCTTTTTTGTAATGTAATGATATTTAATTTGCATTAGCACAAGTGACATACAATAGATCATGCTATTATCATGATTGATATCAGATGAACGGGCATAAATTCAACATTATAAATTGAGCCTATAAATGAAACTATTATTTTACAGGAATTACTGTAGTAGAAAGGCTAAGGACCCTCAAGTCAACCTTAGTCAAACCCACTCTTTAGACTTTTATATTTTATGCCTGCAATTTGTGCTTTTGTGAAAGCCCATAACTGGCAAAAAAAGTCATTGGAAGTCTATTAATTATAATAATACTATCCAAAAAGCTGCGAGGGCTTATTTTTGTGACATCACTCTTTGATTTCTTACTGCCTTAAATTATCCCTTTGTTGGCTGGGTGAGGGTAACAGTCATACTTTTGTCATTAAATATAAGGAGTTTTAAAGCCTGATCCACCTTAGCTCTAATTGATATTGCTTTCATTTGGCAGATAGTGACCTGATTTATAATTTAAATATGCATCATTATATGCACCTCTTCTGTATAATGAAAAAGCGAAGTTACTCTCATCTTTTCCTGCAATGTTAACATCAAGGAAAAGTATCTTTCTTTTTTCCCTTTTATACTCAGAGCCTAATTGAAAACTGTTCATTGAATTTCAACATGATAGAAAAGTCTTTTTATCTCTCAATTTGTCCATTAGCTATTATAATTGAGGTATCTGCTACACGGCTGAATTGATATTGTTCTTGTTTAAATTCTGGGTTTCTCTAAATCTCCTATGAGGCATCAACTAAAAAAATATGGGTTAGGAGACATCAGCTAACAGTGCTGCTGAGATGGGACGTTAGACGAGCACTGCACATGTGTAAAGCTACAGAAAGTAGGAAGTCATCTCATTTTACTGGGGAACGTGTTGCATAATAATCTTAACAGCAGGACCATAAGGTTTGCTAATTGCCACATCTGTTTAACAGCTGTCAGATGTTTGCCATATGCTGCCATCAATATTACAGCAGAGTACATTACGGGGAGTTTTATTGTGTTCGACTGTTATTTATTTGCCACAGACATTACTGCAGCCAGTGACGTCTATTTATGTTAGATCACTAATTATATTTTAAAAGCTGCATGTAAAATCCCTGTTTTTCAGCTTCTTTAGGCCCTATTTCTGATGATGTAACTAATACCTTTTTCCTTACAGATCTCTGGACTCATTTAGAAATTTCTCTCTTCGTCTGGTAAATAATTCTTCAGTAGAATAACTTATTTATGCTGTTTTTGAAGGGTATTTCTATACCCAAGTTACGTTTTAATTGTGTTGTTTGCAAGAACTCAGAAATAATTTTCTTTTTCAAAGAGCCCTCATCATCCCCTGCTTTTTTTTAACCGGTGCACAGGTGGCTGAAAGACAATTCAGTGCTTACAGCTAAGGATGCTGGATACCTTCATCCCAGGCCCCAACCTGCCCTGTACCCTGTACTACATGACCTTGATTCATTATAGGACCTCAGTTCTCATGTGCCCATCTGCAAGCTAACAGCTACTGTACAGCTGTAACTGCAGAGCTGTAACTGCAGGGCTCACTCATTGAGTGTCTGTAGGAAGAGGAGGTGATGCAGCAGCATCAGCATTAAGGCACAGAAATAGGGCTCACCTTTGCTGGTCTTCTCGACATTCTTTCATGCTTTCTTTAAATGACCTTTCAATTGGTCTCTGCATTACTTTCCTGTTACACGGAGCTGCTGCAGCAGTGAAATAGGAAGCAGAGATTGACAAAGTGCAGAGTAGGCAAAATATGCGTGAAGTGATTTAATATGAGTTGATAGGTGTCACTGATCTCTATTATAAATAGACTGTGTGAATTCCATATGATGTATTATTTATCTATTGTAGATGCCTTTTTGTTTCATTAATAAAGCTGGAAATCAGACATATACATTTCCAATGATGAGGTTTTGGCAATACAAGGCATCGTGGTATTTGTCTGCAATTGCTCAATTATTTTGATGATTTTCTTCGTCTTTCTCTATAAATAATTAATGCTTGAGACGTTTGCTCAAGATTCTTATGATTTTAGCTCATTTGTCCAGCTGAAGTCTTTTTTCCCTCTCTGATGAAAGGAGATTCATGCAATGTAAGGACTTACACTTCGACCTGACCTTTGCAACGCTGTGCTGCAGCACACAGCTTGGGTGCTCTGACTGAGGTTTGTGAGGCTTGTGAGGTCTGGTAACTCCAGCAAAACTCACTTCAGCAACGTGTGTTCAGTTTAAATCTGCTTCAAAGCAGAAACTCATTTGCTCTTATTCTACCTGCAGTTAAAAATGTTCCCCAGGTGCTTGAGAAAGTTAAAAGCATACATAGGTAGGGAAGACTTTGTGTTTCAAAATCCTGAAGCGAGCAGCAAGAAGCAGCCAGCAGTGCCTCCTGCCTCCTCTTCCTGAAGATGCTCAAGCCAAGATATCCTTGAGGACGTTAATGTTTAAAACAAAAGACAGAACCAGGGCTGGTGCCGGGCGCAGGTCAGCGAGCCCCAGGCCCTGCAGGGACGGATGGCAGCGGCGCTGGCAGCACTGCCTGCAGCAGGAGGTGCTGTGCTGTGCTCCCACGAGATCTGCCTTCCCAGAACGCCTCCATCGGTAACTGAAATTTGTCTGCCTTCTGCATTTGATCTCCTTATTTTCTTCTCATATGCCTTTTTAATGCTGTTTGTAGCCATTTCAATTATGTGATTTCCTTATCTGTATACCATTGAGAATACTGTACAAGACTTTATAAACAGCTACTAAGTCTATCTGCCTGTCATTTGGTTTTCATTACGTGAGATAACAATCCTTCTCATATCTTATAAGAAGATATAATGTGATTGTTTCCAAACGGAGAGGGGAAAAAAGTCTAGTCTGCATTATACTTAGCCTGGTAGTATTTGTAATGTTGGTGGTGTCAGCACAATCTCCAACATTTTTTCCTTGCTGTGGTCCAGGAAGAATTATCTCTCTAGTTTTTTGTGTTTGCTGCTATCTGCTCTTTTTCTCCATTTTAGACACGGTGAATTTCTTATCTGGAGCGTGGTTACGTGGCCATGGATTTGCCTATATTCAGTGTGATCATTCCTAACTGTTTCGTGGGGCTGATACACTGAAGGGAAGGATGAGAGGCAATTGTCAACAGCTCACTGTATTAAATATGGATAGATATTATTCATGTAATTTGACAGTTCTTGACTTTCAGCTGTATAATGACAGTGAAACGGTAGGAATTTCAGCAGCCGAACTTCTGTCTTACTTCAAGATAAGCTTATCAACTGTAGCCTGAATCCATTCAACTCATAAGCAGATCAAAACTCGTGTCATGCTGAACTGTGGCACTGATTCCCACTTCCTGCTGTTGCTTTACTTGTCCATATGGTCTCCGTTGTTTGCCATCTTGCAGTTACTTTGAGAGGTTTTTGGGGGGCTGACTGTCTCATGTTCAGCACTTCGTACAGTGAAGCCGTGGATCTTGCTCGATGCCACCAATTGCTCATGTAACATAAATGCTATGTAATGAAGTGATAATAGATGATGGTCAGCCCTTGGGCTTTCTTCTCTCTTCATCAGTTACACACTTGAATTACAAAGAGTTGCTTTGTTTGGTTTCCCATTTAACATGAAACACCCTGGAGTTTATCTCATGCTATTTGTCCCAGAACTTCAGTGGGATCCCCGCAAATATGCAGGAATTGTGCATTTCTTTCACCATTTGTGCACTCCCACCGCTGCAGCATGGCGTGGCAGCTGCAGACTAAACAGCATCGTTAGGTTAAGGATTGATCAAGTGGCTGTGGAATTTCCATGCTCTGTTTCGTGCCTCCCAGATTACAGCACTGTTTCCAAACTGGTGGGATTCAGGGGGGGGGGGGGGGCCAGGAATGGTGCATTGTAGAACTTTTGGCAGCCAAATGTTCAACTTCAAAATCAAAAAACAAACAATAATAATACTTTAAAAAAACCCTAGAATTGTAAAAGCAAATGTGAAACCTCTCTCCTGTCATCTCCACCTTCATTTTCTTCTCTGCCAGCTCACTGCAGTTTTATCTCATGGCTGTGAACTCCTCCAGGCTAGGCCTGTCTTTCTGTTTCTGTCTGCGAAATGAAGAGCACAAGAGGATATAAGAACGTACAGATGTGGTTGCTGGCTCGGGCCGTGGGCTGGTGTCCTATCTGCCATCAGCCTTCATCCGCCTGCTGGTTTTTCCATCGTCCAACCTCCTGCTGGAAACACGGCATGCTGATGGGAGCCCATTGCTACAGACTTCACCAGAATATTTTCCCAACAATTATGTTTATTAATTCATCATTGATGTGTTTTTCTTCTCCGAATTTTTCTGCTCTCTACTCGAGTACACTTCTGAGCAGCAGTAAACAAAAAGTGATCGCTATCAGAATAAGTGATGATATGGAAGTTTTGCAATTTCTTAATAGTAAGAGATCCTCAGCTATTTGACTTCTTCTGTAATTTGTGAGAAGAAATATGACTTCAGGTTTCACTATTAAATGCATGCCTCAGTGGCTCAGTTTATGCATTCATAATTATATTTACAATTAGAAATAATGTAATCAGGAATAGATATTTTTTTTACTGGCTGACTGCACAAAATGAGTTGGGGAGAAAATGTAGTTTCAAGCCATGCTTTTTTCCCCACAGTTTAGGATCATTTAAGCTTCATCTCAGTCATACGTAAGGAAATTACAGGCTAATGAAGTCCGTATACGGCTGTATTAGATCTGAAGATTGCCAAGTCTATCACTGGGTTCCCTTCTGCACAGCAAATCCCCAAATACTGAGGATGCAATGGCAGAAGGACACAAAAGCACTTTCTACAGTTACAGTGTGCAGTGTTCTCCTGTAAGTATTTTAATTCCTTCATAATGGAAAAGAGCAGCTTTAAATGGAGAAGCAGATGAGGAGAGAGTGTGAGGCATTCTCACAGTGGAGGATTCAGGTGCCCTGCTAGGCAGGGTTAATGGGTGCTGTACTGCAGTCACTCTGCTCCTGGGAATCCCTGAAATGTCAAAGTGGTGCAAAACAAAATTGTGAACCGAGTCCTGCTTGTTTTAAACGGAGGCAGCAGGGCAGCACTGAGCTCAAATGCAGACTATTTAGACACGGGATGACATTTATGATTACTTTCCTCTCTTGAAAATTAATCAGAAAGTTATTTCTGTGAAAATTTGATTCTTAACTGAAAAATTCTAATCTGCTCACTTGTTTTATTTTTTCTTTGATCATCATTTCCCATCACTGGAAAACAATGGAGAACGCCCTTGTTTGCTGATAGTTTCTAAAGCATTTTCCTTCAGTCTTTGGCCAAAATATGCAATGAAACGTATGTTCACATGTTTTGCACAGTGATTTTTGTCAGAAAAGCCATTTCCCGTCAAAAAGATTATTTCAAGGGATGTTTTCACTTGCCAGATTCAGAAGCACATTAATACTGGCTGCAATCAGAAGGGCACACTCATACAGTGGGCTTCCACACTTCTCATGATACTTTTCAACAGGACTGTCACTGGCAGCACAAGGTGCAGCAATGTCAGTTTTAATTAAAACCTTTCCTTTTACCTGCTGCACAGAACAGCTGCAGCATAAACTGGGAAGCAAAGGCACCACAACATGTACGAGTCAGGTTTTGTTGAACATAAACAGGAGGCATTACTAATGGGAACTCTGCACGGAGCCCATTAGCCCAACAGATTCCGCTTCTCCCTAAGATGCTCCACGCAAACTTTTGCTGGTTTCCAAAAATTGGTTGCCAAAAAAATATGCAGTGGAGTCGAAAGCACGACTTGGGTAAAAGTGAGCGCTGGGTGGAGAGGCCAACACGAGTACCTGTGCTTTACACTGAGCCCTGCACTGATGGCCAGTTTGAGCGTGTAGAGAAGGGTCGGGTGAGCAGCAGTGAGCAGTGCAGGAGACGTTGCCTCCTTCCCCTCAGTGCAGTGGGGTTGGAAGTCTGGGGTAAGGCCCCATCTCCATAAGGACCCACTATTAAATGATTGCTGGAGGAAATCAGCAGCTGCTGCATCTGATAGTCCTCATCTTCTCAGGGTGAGCTCTGGGTGTGAGCAAAATTGCACTTCACCAGCTGCGAGTGGAAAGGACGCCATGTGCCCAGGAGCCTGGCCTCTCTGCAGCCTCTGTGGTCCTTAACAGTGATGTCTGGGTGTTTCTGAACCCCTTCCCTCCAAAAGAACCAAGGCTGTCTGCGCAAACATGAAGTGAAACACAGTAGGGAGCACGGACAATGTCTGCCCTGTTGTGAGCTGGTGCTGGTGGAAATACCCTGGGGAGCGGTGTCAAGGACCTGAAAGTGACTGCATCTTCAGGCAGCTGGATCTGAAGGAGGAGGACGTTTCCCTACAGCCTCAACCTGATGCAGTCTCCTCTTCCTTGGTTTCTCACTATGAGCAAAAGGAAGGCAAGCAGTGTCATCTCTGAGCAGGGGGAGATCATTCGTTCAGTAATGAGAATCAAACTGTTACAAACTGGAAAATCGCTAAGTCTGATTTGCAGTGTATTTCTCTTCACTTGTTTCTTCAGAGGTTTTGTTGGTTTGTTGTTTTGTGAGCACTGCCAGGAGTCAAGATGTACATCTCATTTCCATGAGAATTTTCTCAATAGCCCAGGAAGAGCAACTACAGTACCTAAGTTACATTTAAGTAACTTAAGTAAGTAAGGTGTGGGTAGCAACTAGTTAAGAGACACTAAGGACCTTTGAAATTTAAACTTGCTAGGTGTTCTGCCTAAAAAAGCTAGATCTGATGCTGGCGTTGAAGTTTTCAGAGCTAGACTATGCTGTTTAAAATGGAATTTCACATAAAATAAGGTGTGAAGGGACGTTGAAGTATACTCGATTGTATCAGTCATTCTGTATGAACAGGGAAAAATTACAAATGCAACCAGACAGCACCCTCTTCTGGACAACACCATCCATGCAAAACTCATCAATACAGATACTGCAGAAAGTAGAGTGATGCTGGTCCTAAAGGAGAAAGGGAGAGAAGGCAAGATTCAGTAGTTAATGTTTTACATTCAGTTTTCCAAGGAAAACACAGGGAAATATTACTATGCTTTTATTTTTCTGCGTGTTTTATATTAAAACATGAAAACTGGACGGACACAGTATCTACTTATTTCAAAAGCAGATCCCAGTTTGAAAGATTCCTTTTCATCACAGCTTTACCATTACTGCAAGACCCTTTGGAGAGGTCACACACCAGATCCGGGTTAATAAGTGTATGTATCCCTTAGACATCTCATTTTTCTCCATTTCTGAGTGTATTATTTTCTGTTCAGTATTTATGTTCATAAACTAGTTTGTGGAGCTGCATTTTATTCCATCACTCTCTGTGAGCAGCTTGGCTTATGCAGCTGATACTCAGCCTTCAGGAAGATGCTATGATATTTCTCCTTCTTGACTGAACGACTTTAATTCTGATGTTCAGGTTTCCAATGCAAATTTAAAGCTTGCCATCAATGAATACACTGCCACATCTGAAATGCATGAAGCCTGCTCATAGATGAGTGACTTTGTTACAGGATTCCTGGAAAGCAAACACATTATGACCATGGGGAATATTACCGTGATGGAAAGTGATTTAATTGTAAAATGAAAATGAGCAGTAGTTGAAGTTCAGAAAATATTTCCCTAGCTGTGATTTTTGTATGCAGATATTACTCTAAAGGAACTTTGGGTGCCACCCCTTATTTTTTACCCCTTC